AGAAGTACTACATTCAGATGTATGTGGCCCCTTTGAGGATCATACCATTGGTGGAAACATGTATTTTGTCTCATTTTTTTATGAGTATAGTCGAAAATTTTGGATATATGTGATCAAGCGAAAGGACAAAGTATTTGAAATCTATAGGAGATTCAAAATACTTATCAAAAACTAAAGTTAAAAGAAGATCAAGGTTCTGCGAACAGATGGAGGTGGCAAATACAGATCAAAGATATTTGAAGAATTTTGTGTAGAACATGGTATTATCATGAGGTAACTTCTCCTTACACGCCTCTACATAATGGTATAGCAGAAAAAAGAAACAGAACCATATTCACTACTATAGAACGCATAAACAACAATGCCATGGTCACCACGGTTCTTCTCTACACTGTTGTGAAATCTCTAAACTAAGGCGCTACCATACTATTTTTATTTTCTAATTAAAAATTATTAGTATATTACAACGGTTGAGGAACCACCCATGGTGATACCATCAAGCTTTCATGGGTTGGAACCTCAGTGTGCTCATATATATTATTCCTTTAATGTTAAGGCGCGCCTTTTCTTTTTTATTTATTTTTAAATAAAAATCTTAAAGGATTATGACTACAATTGGTTTTTTCCACCGTTGTGACAAATTTATATATATCACCACGGTTGGTATTGTAAACCGTTGTGAGTATATTTATATATAAGTGAAATAACACTCGCTCTTTGACAGTAGCGTCGTATCTTTCACAGCAAAATCCTAAAACCCGTTTCTCTCTTCTTCTTTATCATTAGCAATCATATTCTACAGTATAGCCACCAATCTTGTTCTTCTTACATAAAGGTATTTTTCTTTTTCCTTATTCTCTCGTTTTCGTGTATGTTGTTGCTATATTTCACATGGTTTTCCTATAATATTCTTCGTGTTAGATCGTTTATGATTCTTTTATGGTTGTATGTTGTTCTATGTTGTTGTTTCATGTTGTGTTGTTGACAAGTAAGCATGTGGTTTCACATGTTGATAATATTCATGGTGTTTGTAGGACTCAAGAAATAACAACAACAAACTTCATCTATTTGAGAAGCTATTGGAAGAAATATAAGAAGTATGAAGCTATTGTGTAAACTTCATTCATCTTATATTTCTTTCTTATGGCTTCACAAACTAGATGAACTTTATGTGATGATGATGGTGGTTGCAAGTGTATAGTATGAGTTGATAAAGTAAATATGGTTTGTGTAGCAATGAAAAAAATATAAAAAGTATGAAGTCATTGTGGAAACTTCATCCACCTTATATTTTTTTTCATTGCTTCACAAACTAGATGAACTTCATAGTTCCACGATTATTTTCAATAAAAGGTGCGTTCTATAAAGAAGTTAATATATTTTGTGATATTGTATGTTGTTAGTGTTTTGTTGCTAAAATGTATGTTATTTTTATTGTGTTACATGTATTTGTTGTGTTTTTGTATGATGTTTTTGCTGACAAATATTCTCAAAACAAGAATAAAATATTGCTAACTCATAAGAAAAAGGCTTCTTGTGACTTAGCAATGTTTTGTTCTTTAAAATTCTTATATAGATTGAAATGTCAAGATTAAGTCTAGTTTATTATATACTATGTATATTCTTTGTTTCACTAACTTTTAATGAAAATGCAATCATTTAAATTGACATAGAAACTTATAATCTGAACATTAAGATGTATTTGAAAACCAACTTATATCAATCATTGTATTCCGAATTGCATGTGTCTCATTCAACATATTTTATGTTCTTTAACACATAATATATGGTTCAATGGTCGGATTCCTACAATACATCGATATCTATTATTCTACTTTACCTATCGTCGTCGCTTATCACCGTGATTGTTAAGATCATGATTGTTATGATCATAAGTCATCATAACAATCACGATGATAAACAACGGTGATGAGGTAAACAATAATAAAATATATTGATACATTGAATGAATATGACCATTGAACCATATATGTGTTAAAGAACATAAAATGTGTTGAATGAGATGCATGCAATTCTGAATACAATGGTGTGTTTAAGTTGATTTTCAAGAATAGTTTAATTTTCAGGTTATATAATTCTTTACAAACTTTGATGGTTGTATTTCTTTAATGAGGTGTATGGTAAAACGATAAATATACAGTTGTATATAATAAACTATGGGTACATTCCACAAAAAAGTTATTCATATTAACCGTGATCTAATGTAATTTATTTGTTGTTGGGTTTCAAACCCAGTACCTTATATATCACAATGGTTAATAAACATAACTGTTGTGACATCACGTAAGCTTACCAGTATACTACAACGGTCCCAAGACCGTGATTGTTAGTAGCGAATTTACAATAACACTCTACACAACAACGTCTGGTCCTGCATGATTATATGTATTTACCAACCGTTGTTAAATGGGTTTTTCGTAGTAGTGATTGGATATGGTGAGACGCATGCTGAAGTAGAAGAACTTTCCTAAATCCTTATGGGGTGAAGATATCACCACAACTATTTATATTTTAAACTAGTGCCCTACCAAGAAACTGAAGAACAAGGTTCTAGAAGAAGTTCGGAGTGGAAAACGACCATTAGTGAATCATTTGAAGATGTTTGACTCTATTTTCTACAAGCATGTTCCTGATGCAAGAAGAAGGAAGCTTGATGATAAAAGTGAACCTATGATTCTTGTAGAATATCACAAAACTAGAGCATATAGGCTATTCATTCCAATCAATGTTAAGACCATGATAAGTCGAGACATTGTGATTGATGAAAATTCTGCATAGGATTTGAATTCTAGTGATGAAATTGACAAGCCATTGACGAGTTGTAGTTTTGAAGAAACAAGTAATGATGTCGAAGTCGAAAAAATTGTCGATATTCTAGTCGAAGTCGAAATCGAAGTCAAAGCAGATAATTGAGAGGGTGTGGCTAGCACAAGCCAAATACCTCAAAGAACTAGAGTTCCTCCAGCAAGACTTCAAGAAGTGGAAGTAAACTATGGTAGAATATTTACAAGTGATCGATAAAAACAACACGTTAGAGCTAGTCGAATTGCCAACGCACACAAAAGCTATCAAAGTGAAGTGGGTGTTCAAGCTGAAGGAAAATGCTGATGGATCGATAACAAGATATAAGGCAAGATTATTAGCTTGAGGATTTATTCAGAGAGCAGGAGTCGACTACTCTGAAGTATATGCATTAGTCACAAGATTGGAGACTCTCATATTAGTGGTATCCTTGACATGCAAGCAAGACTAGTCGACATTTCACTTAGATGTGAAATCATCATTTTTTGAATGGTCCTTTAGATTAAGAGGTATATGTCACACAACCTCCTAGGTTTGTGATATAGGAGGAAGCAAGGAAATTATACCAGTTGCATAATATATAACCATTATTTGCTTATGTGTCGATAACTTGTTAGTAACTGGAAATAAAGTGGAGAACTTGTCGAAGTTCAAAGAGTTAATGATGATGGAATTTGAAATGTATGATCTGGGAAATTTGTCGTATTTTCCTAGGCATGAACTTTCAATTAACAAAGCAAGGTATGTGTCATACCCCAATTTTTTCAAGATTAAAATACATGTTGCACGTGTTCTAAGCTATCCAATTAGGGATTAAGCAAGTCATCATTATATCAAGCTTTTATGCGTTCCAATACGCTCTAAATTGTGCAGAAAGCCAAGCGTTTCATTTGATTTGAGACAATGAAGACATAAATTTAGTACAGTACGTTTCAAGCTCAGAAATTCACTACTTCAGATCGGAAAATGGTTTGGGGTTGATTCTTCAGGCATTAGAACCGTCTTGAGGTCTTCTTCGTTCTAGTTGTTCATGTCAAAGGCTAACTTTATGAGGAAGATTTTCTAAAGCGCAAAATACCTGAAATGCACTATACAATGGATTTACTATTTCTCTGGTTTTCAGATGCTTAAAAATTCGTAACTTCTGACTAGAAGATCATCTTTGAGTTCCTTTTGGAGCATTTGAACCTTCTTGTTATTTCCTTTAATCTTCGTGTTCGGCACGAAATCTAATTCATTGAGGAAGATCTCTGAATGTGCGAGTACTTCGAAGTTATATGGTGCAAAAATAGTTAAAATAATGTGTTGAACCGTTGTTTTTCAGATGTTCAAAAATTCATAACTTTCACCCAGTTCGATGTTTTTGAGTGGTTCTAGGGAGAAAAATCCATCTTGATTTTATCTTTGATTCGTATGTTCGGGTCAGAAGTTAATTCTTTGCAGAGGGTTTCCGAAAGTGCCAATTACCAGAGAAATTGCATGCCAAAACTGTTTTCTACCAGATTGTTTCTAGATATTGTAAAAATTGTAACGCTCTCAATTTTTATCATATCGGGACGATTCTTGAAGAGTGGGATCAAAAATTTTGTAACCTTCAACTTTGCTTCAGGGTCGAAGTTCAGATTATGCTCCAAATACTTTGGTTTATATCTCGCATCCGAAAGAGCACATGGAAATAAGCTGGAATTTTCAATACGGTGAAATAAGTCCATTGTTTATTTCCGTTCAAAAAATCATAACTTGTTCGATTTTTATCATATTGGGGTGATTCTTTCGGCATGAAGTCCAAAATTTCGTCACTAATATTTTCGCTTCAGGGTTCACATCGAGATTCTGCACCAAAATGCATAAGCTTGTGGTTTGTTCGTGTGCAGTACATAAAAAAAGCTGTAAAATTCTACACTGTGAATTTTTACACTGCGTATTTCACTGTTAAGGGCAACGTAACTTGCTCAATTTTTATCGTATCAAGACGACTCTTTCGGTGCCGCATCACAAATTTCGTCATCAACATCTTTGTTTTAAGTCGCGCGTCGATATTTCGCACTGATTATTATGAGCTCGGGGTTCGATGTCGCACTGTGCACAAAATAAATTGAAAATTTAAGTTTTAGAGCCAAACTATATATCTCAAATTTCAAAATTCACACACAATTACACTCACATTTTCACATTTCACAAAAAATATCTCAAATCCTCTTAACTTTTCTCTCATTCTCTCAAGAACACATCAACACAAATTCAACCAAAACTCATCAATAATCTTCATCTTCCTCACTCCAAAATTTCCGCAAGCAATTTCCGATCCCTCTCCCACCGTGGATGCACCACCAGCCTCCGACCTACCTCCTCCATTCGTCTTCTCTGCCACTGACCTCCAACAATTTCGGCCTTCTTCGTCGCGCATGCAGTCGTGGATACTCCCACCGTTTTCCGTCGCAACGATTCAGGTCCACCTCCATCATTTAGCTCTCGTTTTCTTTGGAGATGTCATCTCCTCCTTCGCGCGATTCTTCGGAAAACATAATCTTCTCCAATTCTTCATTTCGGTAATTAATACTTAAGACTTTGCTTGAGTTTGATTTTGAATTGGATATTTTTTGAAGCTTAGGTGTTTGATGTAATGCTTGAGAGATAATTACATGATGTGAATTAAACTGAGATTTGAGTTGTGAATTGGTGCATTGAACTTGACTCTTGAATTTGCAATAATAAAGAGAAGTGGATTTGGTTGAACAAATCTTTAACTCATGTGGATCTATAAATTCAATTTGATAATTGTTGATGATATTTTGAATTGTTGGAGCTTAATTGAACATTATGTTAATGTCATAATTATTGAACTTGATTTGCTTTTGTGATATTAATTGAATTGAATTCTTGAAGTTTGTTTGAATTAAACTTGATCCTTGAATTTCAATAATGTTGAGAAATGGAATTGATTTTTTGGTGATTTCATGAGTTGAATATTTTGTTTTGAGACAATTGTTCATGAACCGGTAAATTGATGTTTATTCTTGATTTTGATTTTCGATGTCAAATTATGTTGAATTGGTTAATTGAGGATTTAATGCGGATATAATTTTTTTGATGACTTTTGATGTCGAATTATAGTGTGAGTTTCAGATTCTTGAATTGTTGTTTAGAATTAATGGTAAATTTATGAGTTAATGCAATTTCGGATTGATTTAAATGACGAATTGATTTTCACACCATCAAAACGTTTTATTCAATTAATTGTGTCAACTCAAGAATTATATTGTTTGTGATTGGAAACTTGTGTCTTGATGTGAATTAATCTTTTGTAACTCGTTTACAATTCTTAAATGAGGGTACTTAAACCATTGAACACCTTTGTGCATATGTTTCCGATTGTTAAATTCAATTTCGGTTAACATTGGTACAAGTACATGTTGTTGTTCGGAATGTGTAAAGAAGGTGCAAATCACTTTTAAAACTTGTTTGAGGTTTAATTGATCATATTCAGACATTTATGGATGGTTAATGTTGATTTTTACCATTTTCGATGTGATTTTCTAGGTAATTTGTGATACAGTGTAGTGTTGTACGGGCTTCAAAAATGCACTTGGTTTAAGCTATAATTCATGGCTCATGAGTTTTTAGCTTTAATCGAATATTTGTGGAACTTTAACATCGATTCCAGTTACTTTTAAGACATTTTTTATGCACGTTTGCAATATGGTATGTTGCAGACCGGGAATGGTAAGTGGCACTTGCACATGGATTTAATTCGCAGGGGATACTTATTTGAGCTTGTTGGTACGTTTGGTGGCTACCGGTACCGTTTTTGGTCAATTTCATTCAGACTTTTCTTGCACATTAAAATTGAGTACAATGCTATCTGGTTTTCTTTCTAACATGTACATTGAGTTTTAATATTCATATAATGCATGTTTGCACTTCATTGGTTGTATTGGACATTGTTGTTGAATTGACTCGATTTTGGTGTGTTCTCCGGATTAATTCATGATATGTACATAATGTTGCCCCGTTTTGTAATTTGCACGTGGAATGCATTTTAATTGTTGGTTTATGCATTGTTGCACTTGTATTGATCTTTGTTATACATTTGCATCGAGTTGTATTGATTTCAGACCGACAATTTATGTGTTTCATTGTATGGTGTACATGCTTCTCGGTATTCTATTTTGTGAGTCCGTACTTGTTTGATTTTGCTTTATGCATGATAATATGACATTTTAAGTTGTAGTGTCGATTGTTGAGTTACATTTGATATTTCTTGTTATTTGCTAACTCTTCTTGTGACATTGTGCAAGCTTTGGAAGGAGATTCATTGTGATGCATTTGTTTTGATTTTACTTTTTTCTTGTGTAGCATTGCTTTGTGCATGACATTAGCTAGATGCACACGTAGCTTGCGGTTTATTTTTGCATTGTAATATCAAATGATTGTATTGGATATTGTATCTGATTTGATTTTTTGTTGATGATAGCTTGCTCAAAGTTATCTGGAGTTATTATGTTTTTGCTTGCTTGCTACAAACTCTTATTCGTTTGGTATGTATTGATTCTGGTTTATGTCTCTGCATCCTTTACCTCTTTCCTTGCCATGAGAAGTAGGAATAGAGATACATGATTGGAAGTCCCTATTTTAGGTGGGAAATCTGTTTAAAGTCCTCAATTGAGCTGATGTTTGTTTTGTTAAAGTCCTCGAAATGAGGTGATGTTTTTGTTTGCAAAAGACTCCAAAAGGAGCAATTTCGTGTTTTTTGTTTAAAAACCTCAAATGAGGCATTTCTGCTGAAGTCCTCGAAGTGAGCATTTTAAGTATGGCTAAAGTCCTTGAAGTAGGTCATTCGTTTCGATGATGTTAGCTCACGTCGCTCGATGTTGATGCTCTGAGTTATTACTCGATGTCGGTGCTCGAGTAAATCAGATGGAAAGAGTTCCTTACTCCCACTTTGAGATCCATGGGACTCTTTGGTTTGATATTAGCTCAGACTCGATGTTTATTGGCTTCAGATTGTCTTTGTTTATTCTCACATTGTGTTTATGCTTCCCATTAGGTTGTAACCTTTGTATGCTCACTTAGAATTCGCTTGTTTCGTTTCCGATGCAGTTAGACATTATGATTTCAATCCATGCATGCTAACATAGGTAGAGATTTTCCTTTCCAACCTCAACCTTAGGGCCATCATTGTATGATAACACTAGGGATCGGACTAGGTTAGTCTCCTTTATACTTTTTCTCTTCCCCTTTTTCATAACTAAAATTAAAATTCTTTTTCTTTGGAAAATTCATAAAATGATCTAACCATACTTAAATATTTTCTCAATATAAAAAATAATAACCAATCCAAATCTTTTTTTTCCTTCGGGCCTCTTTTCTTTGAAAACCTTTTTCATATAAGAACACGTCCTTTAGATTAGAACAACAAGAGTGGATCTCGTGAAGTACCACGAGCGTGAGGGGTACTAATACCTTCGCCTTGCATAATCGACTCTCCTACCCGATCTCCCAGTCGTAAGATCCTGACTTCTCCCTTCTCAGGTTTTTCTTCGATGATTTTCCTTTTCCTTTCTGTGGGATAAATAAATACTCGATGGCGACTTCATTGATTCTCTCTCGATGATTTTTCGTCAGTTCCTTTAGTATGATGTTGCATTAAAAAAGGTATGTCAAAGAGATACTCAAGAGATTCAGGATGGATGATTCGAATCCTGCATCCTCACCTATCGAAGGAAATTTGAAGTTGGAGAAGAAAAATGAGGAAGACAAAGCCGATATCACTCTGTTCAAACAAATTGTCGGATATGTGAGATATGTGTATAATAGTCGACTTGACATAGGTTTCTTAGTAGGAATGGTGAGATGATACATGAGTGAACCTAGGGTGTCACACAAGAAGGATCGAAGAAGAATGCTGAGATACTTAAAAGGATCGATAAACTATGGAATTTTGTTTTCACGAGATTCTGAAAGAAAATAAGCTACAATTACTTGCTATTCAGATGCTGATTGGTGTAGAGATAAGGAAGATCGAAGAAGCACAAATGATTACTTCTTTCAAGTCTTTAGTGCCACAATCTCATGGTGCTCGAGAATGTAACCTGTGGTGGCATTGTCATCGTGTGAGACTGAATATATAACATAATCATATGTTACATATCAAGCAATCTAGATCAGATCTGTGCTGGAAGAGTTGAAGGTCGAAGCAAAGAAGCCTTTTGTGCTGTAGTTCGAAAACAAGTCAGTCATAAATGTTGCAAAGAATCCAGTTCTACATGGAAGGAGTAAGCACATTGAAGCTAGATTTCACTTCTTAAGAGAGAAGGTAGATTGAGGTGAACTTGAAGTTATACATTGCTCAAACGAAATACAGTTGACTGACATTTTCACCAAAGGACTGAAGATCGATAGATTCCTAACTTTAAGAAAAAAGTTAGAAATAATTCAAATCAATTATGATTAGTTTGTATTTGACAACTTAGATTATAAAGGAGTATGTTGTTATATAATTTAAGTAGCAACCCAAATTCAAATTAGTTAGGATTAGAGTTTATCATATTAATCCAATTTATATGACTTCCAATAATAATATTCTTTTCACACGCACTAACATTACCAACATTAACATAGGTTTAAGTTGATAAAATTTTGAGAATTTTAACAATGATTCGAACTTCATATGTTTTTCTTCTAAAATTTCCAAATATTTTAACAATGATCCATGTAAAGACTATCTGCACCACAGTAAAATCTTAACTAGTTAGTTCCACATCGAAAATCCCATAGCACACTCTATTTTGATCCCAAAGTAACACTGCATGAGCAATTTAGTGTCATCGAAATTCGAACCCGAATCGAAATTCACATTCTGTACTAACTTATTGATGCTAATTTTTATTCTACAAACAGTGTTGTGATCAATATTGTGTAGAGAGAAAAATAGGGTCTCAACTCAACTATAGCGATCAATGCTGCTGAGATTCTGCTGCCCGTAATGATTTGGTTCTTGCATGGGAGCTTCTGGCTCACGTCCTGAAATTAAATATGACTGAGGTAATTGAAATTGTCCAAGTCTAGTAGTTCATGAACATGAAGCTTTTTGATTATATGTTAACTTGGACAGTGTTACTAATATAATTATTATGAATATTTTAGGATCAAGGATTGGATGGGATTGCAGACGGATTGGATACTTTAAAAAACATGGCACACGATATGAACGAGGTCAGATTCCTTATTGTGTTTGTCTTTCATCCTTTGTGTGTGTGATATATGTTTTTTTTAATGTTTAAGTTTGTTATATTTATACATATGTGCCAAATGAAGGAATTTTATAGTCAAGTTTCGCTGATGAATGAGATTGATACTAAGGTAAGATTCATCATTTTCTCTCTGTAAACTGAGGAATCTGGAAACTTGGAGATCAAAGTTCTCGAAACTCTAGAAATGGATTCTAAGGTTAACTTGATGCTATTATTTGTCTTTAGTCTTTACAGGTGGACAAGGCATCCTCTAACCTTAAGAATACCAATGTTAGGCTTTAAGACACAGTTACCCAGGTTATTAACTCTTC